ATTCATGTTTGCTTACTTACTTACTTGGCCTAAATTATCAAAGGAAGAAGTACTTTCCAGTTGTAGTTGTTTAACAAGTAAATTTATACAAAACAATTTTAAAAACGTTCTCTCATAATGTTGCAGCTATGTTTCGAGTTTCATTCGTACAAGATGAACCAATGTTTCGATTTGCATAAATTGCACCCCTTAATGTCCCCCATTGTCTTTCTTTACGCAAAATTTGGTTCGTACTAGACCGATTTTTCAATTCATTAAAAAAACGACTCGTTTTGCAGCTTACGTTCTCATCTGGTTAAACAATTGGTAATCCAACTATTTTGAATAGATAAGCCTACCCTGAACTGCCACGACTGAGCAGAAGTCAAAGGCTCATATGTGATTAAGTTTTCGCAATGATCAAGATCTAATCCTCCATACGTTATAGTACCACCATAAACATCCTCCTGTTCTGAAATCTTTAGAGATGGTTTTGAGGATTGTTGATAAAACAAGAAAGATTACCCCCAACGTTTTTGAAATAGATGGTGAATATTGGCTCGTCAAGAAGACCGAGATCATTGGCGCGTAAAAGAGGAGGAGTGATGGGATGTACGGCTACGGATGTAAAGGGTAGTCCAAGCATACCCTCGATGTGGGTCTAAAAGCACTTCTATTTGTTTATAGTTAGAAGTTGTGGTGCCTAGAGGTAGATATTGAGAAATATTTGAAAATAAATATAGAATTCAATACCAAACAACTAGCGCTAAATAATATTTTTAAAAATGATAAACTCAATCTAAAAAATGACGTTTGTAAAAAGCTAAATTTGAACATCATCTTACTTTTCTATTATAGTGGAGAAAATTTGATGATGCTTACAAAGCTGAAAACCGGAGAAATTTTTTTTGCTTGTCCGAATACAGCACCAGGTACAATGAGCTGTTGTGTATTTTCGGCTCCGAATCGTACTGTATCATTCCCGTAAAAGCCTTCACTGTATCCTATATAGTACTGCAATTAGGTGTTTTTAATAAAGAGTTACATATAAGTACAGTTTCAGAATTTAAAGGACCTCAATTTTCCATGTGCCCTCGACTTCAGCGTAGGTGTTGGATCGCTCCATATGAAAACGT